GAGTACTGATATTGTTAGATGGGGTTAAACTCCCCTGAAGACGCAGGTTCGCAGCTTGGGAGTGATCCTGGACTCATCGCTGAGCTTGGAACCCCAGGTCTCGGCGGTGGCTGGGAAAGCTTTTGCACAATTAAAACTTGTGCGCCAGCTGTGCCCATACCTTGGGAAGTCTGATCTGGCCACAGTGGTCCACGCTCTTATTACATCCCGAATAGATTACTGCAACGCGCTCTACGTGGGGTTGTCTTTGAAGACTGTTCGGAAACTTCCACTAGTACAACGGGCAGCAGCTAGACTTCTCACTGGAGCATCATACAGAGAGCATACCACCCCTCTGTTATGTCAGCTCCGCTAGCTGCCGATTTAGTTCCGAGCACAATTCAAAGTGCTGGTCTTGACTATAAAACCCTATATGGCACCGGCCCAGCGTACCAGTCCAAATGTATCTCCTTCTACGGAATTTAAGATCTTCTGGAGGGGCCCTGCTCTCAACCCCGCCCTTATCACAGATGAGGTTGGTGGGGACGAGGGACYGGGCCTTCTRGGTGGTGGCCCCCCACCTGTAGAATTCACTCCCCGGGGAAATTAGATCATTGTCATCCCTCCTCTTTCAGAAGGAAATTAAAAACATGGATATGGGACCAGGTCTTTGGGTAATCTGGCAGACTGACAAGGACAATGACGACTAAAGCTTTGGAAATGGACTATGATACGCGGAATGAATTTATTAATTACGGACTTGGCAAAACGATGGCCACCAGGCTGGCTTTTTATTGTATTAATGTAATGTTTTAACTGTTTATAATTATTGTTACTATGTATTTTATTGTGTGAATTGTAGGCATCAAATGTATGCCGGTTGGAAGCCGCCCTGAGTCCCCCTTAGGGGGTTGAGAAGGGCYGGGTAGAAGTACCCGAAATAAATAAATACATAAATATTAGAGCCAAAAATGATCTGAAATGGGAGTGTGAGCAAGTCTTGAGCATCCTCAGACACTTAAATTGATCAGGGATAGGCGCAATGTATGTTCTTTGTCTTTTGTGTGTGTGTTTTATATAAACACTAGAGATTAAGTACGTGACGATGCCCAGATTAAGTCTTTTATAACGTTATTTATAAGAAATAGACCTTGTTTGCTTTTCTTAATGGTCCCAACACAAAATACTGAAGGATGTGGGTGAACTGCAACTCCCAACATCGTGCTTCAAATTTCTCCCAAACATCACCAGTATTCAGAGTTCGCCATGTTAGATATGTGTGTCAGGTTTGGTCTAGATCCATCATTGGTGGGGTTCACAGTGTTCTCTAGATGTGAGCGAACTATAACTCCCAACATCATGGGTCAATTCCTCCCCAACCCTGCCAGTATCTAAAGTTGGGCATGTTGGGCATTTGTGCCAACTTTGGTACAGATCCATCATCAGTTGGATTCACAGTGATCTTTGATTATGAGTGAACTACAATTCCTATCATTCAGAGTCAATTCCCCCACAAAAACCTACCAGTATGTACAGTTGGTGATGGTGGTTATGTGTGCCATGTTTGCTTTAGGTGCATCGTCGGTGGAGTTCATAGTGCTTTCTGGATGTGGATGAACTATAACTCCTAACATACAAGGTTAATGAATGCAGGTGATTACCTATAAAGCCCTGTATGCTTCGGGTCCAACCTATAAAGCTCTATACACTTCGGGTCCAACCTATTGCCTTCTACGAACCAGTGCTGACATTAAGATCTACTGGGGAGGCCTTTTTCTTGGTCTCACCACCGTCTCAAGCATGGTTGGTGGGGACGAGAGGGCCTTCTCGGTGGTGGCTCCTCAGCTCTGGAATACCCTCCCTAAGGGAATTAGATTAGCCCCCTCTTTTCAGGCCTTTTGGACGAGTCTAAAAACATTGCTATTCAGACAGGACTTTGATCCTGAGTAATCCATGGCCAATATGATGAATAATTGATAGTGCTGATCCGCACTTTGATTGATTGTTACAACAGATAGCTGGCCGGCAGATCCTACTGCATTTTAGGGATTTTATAATTTTAAATTTTATAATTTTTTAATATTTTATATAATTTTATTACTGAGATTTTATGTATTGCTATTATACTTACGTCATTGTATTTATATTGATGTATGGTTTTCTGCATGTGGCACTTGGAGTGCACCCCAAGTCCCTTTGGGGAGGTGGTGTCAGAGTACAAATAATAATAATAATAATAATAATAATAATAATAATTATTATTATTATTATTATTATTCCACCCTCCCAACCCCACCAGGATTTTTGTTGTCTGTGGGGGAGGGGGGGGTCTGTGTACCAAGTTTGATCCAGATCCATTGTTGGAGGGAGTTACAGTGCTCTGTGAAAGTGAGAGCCATCTTAGAAATTGCACACAAACATAGGTAGATATATAACATAGATACAAACATACCGAGTAAAACATAAATTTTTAAATTGATCAGGTTAGATGGGACCGGAATAGCTGATTCTCCTACTTTTGAAACTTAAATATGGTAATTGATAGAAATACAAAAGGGGGAAAAATCAACAGAAGGAAGGCTTCCTTAGTCTGGATCTACACTGCCGTATAATCCAGTTTATTAAAGCAGATAATCTGGATTTTATACGGCTGTGTAGATGGGGGCCTTAGAGGCAGGCGGGAAAGTAGTCTTGAAAGAATAAATTTTAATCTCCAAACAGCAGGAATACTTTTTTTTTTTGTAGACGAAGCCTCCAGAAAGTTTCAGTTAGGGGTTTTTGTTTTTTGTTTTTATCCAATTCCAATCATGGTCATTTACAAACAATAAAAACAGAGGTCTTTTTAAGTGTTCCTTCTTTTAATCAACATTTAGTATATTGTGTAACTGCAAAATACTGTTCAGATTTAAAATAAACTTCACACAGTCCTTTTTTCCTGGTTCAAATTGTTGGCCACATCGAAAAGAGGTTCATTGTAAAATGTTCAAAGGGAGGGAAAATCAAAATTCCTCCAAGAAATGTACAGCTCTTATATTAAAAAAGGGATTTTGAGCTATACGTACAAGCATGCTGGACATCCCCTGGACACACATACTGTAATTATTCTGATTGTTTTCCAGGCTTTAGCATAGCAGGTTAATCACAACAGGTTAACCACCAGCTGCAGTAAATCTTGCTAATCAAAAGACTGACAGTTCAAAGCCCGGGTTGGGGTGAGCTCCTGGCTTTTAACCCAGCTTCTGCCTACCTTGAAAGCAAAATATGAGTAGACAAATAGGGACTGATTAAATCCAGGAGATATTTAAGGCACCAATTTTATTTATCATATCAGGAGAACCAAGGGTATAGTTGTAGTGTATTTCAAATTAACACGAAGTTTAAAAACTTGGCATTCTATTAAATGTCCTTTGACCAGTAGCTGGCCACTTGGGAGTGCCTCTGGTGTTGCTATAAGAAGGTGCTCCATTGTGCATGTGGCAGGGCTCAGATTGTGTTGTCATATTTATTTGTTTATTTGCAACATTTATGTGCCGCCCTTTTCACTCTAAAGGGAACTCAGAGCAGCTTACAAGTTATATTTTATATATATATCCCTGTTGACATCAGACAGGCGCCCTCCCTTTTGTCCTTCCGTAGGAGCCTAAAGACCTGGCTTTTCGAGAAGGCATTTAATTGAATATACGGTAACTGGTAATTGACACCTGGAACGGAATATGGACTACGATATTGGATATGGTTCTACGATATGACGGAGCGGATTATTTAGTGTAATTTATAGTATTGTGTATTATTGTTGTGTGGATTGCTTGCTTCTGTTTTTGTAAACTGTTTTTTATATGCTGTACACCGCCGCGAGTCGCCCTAGGGCTGAGAGCGGCGGTCAATAAATGCACCAAATAAATAAATAAATAAATAAATAAATAATATGTACATACAATATATTATATTATTAGCACAGCACAATATTAGTATTATATTTATTATTTACTTATTTATTTGGAACATTTATATCCTGTCCTTCTCAACCTCTGAAGAGGGAGTCAGGATGGTATAGTACAATATATTACTATATTGTACTATACCACTATACTGTAATATTATTAGTAATATTACATGTAATATGAAATATAAAATTATATTGTATTATTATTAGTATTATATTGTATTACATTATAATATCAATATTATATGTGTATACAATATATTATATTAGCACAGCACAATATTTGTATTATATGTTATTATATTGTACTGTATCACTATACTGTAATATTACTAGTAATATTACATGTAAAATAAAATATATAATTATTATATTGTAATATAAATATTACATGTAATATAATATATAATTATTATATTGTATTATTATTAGTATAATATATTATTAGTAGTACTATATTATATTATATAATAGGTGGTCTGTGTTTTGCTCTTCTCAATACTTGCATGTTGTGGACTTCACTTTGTGACCCCATTTCTTAAGGTTAGCTCTGCATCTCATGGTGCCAAAACACAGTCTGTTCAGTGCCTTCCAAGTCACCCAGTCTTCTGTGTGCCCAGGAGGGAGTCTTATTATTTAGTATTGGCCATGGATTAGGGCACCCATAAGGAAATGTGAGAAAATTCCAGCAAGGAGGAAGTTTACAAACAAAGCTCTTTGGCAGGGAAGATGGAGTGTCAACACCCCCCGTGGCTGGAACCGAGCACAAGCCTCCAAGATGCTGAAGATGGGAAAAGCCTATATATACCTCTATTGTATGTCTTGTCAGTGTATAACGCCCGTATATGTGTCTGCGATCGAGCCTGAGTCCCCTTCGAGGTGAGAAGGACAGAATATAAATACTGTAAATAAATAAATAAATGTCCAAAATGAGATTTTTAAAACAATAACTTCTACACTTTGTAGGAAACCCAGGCCTTCTACATTTTGGATTAATTCCGTAAAACACTCACAAGTAAAATAATGCATATTTAAAGGGAAAGATGAGACAAGAATTTTCCACACGGAAATACACAAC